AATAATACAATGACCTACATAGCATTATGGCGAAGCTACGATTTTACAGTGAAGTATACGGCTTTATTTTATTGATATCATGTATAAATTGAAAGTCTTCTCCCTAAAAAAAAACTTTAATGAATATCTGTACAGACTATTCTTGAAGACTTTAGTAGTAGTATAATAATGTTCCGATTTTAAAAGGTAAAATTCTTCATTAAAAAGGGGCGAGAGAGCCTTGTTATGAAGATTCATTCTTTCCTGTCGTTAACTTCTCCTTTTTGTAGCAATATATACCATTATCATCTCAGCAAGATGGCGAAAAAATTCGAAAAATCTGAGGATTTGAGATATCGAGGTTAAAAAACTAAAAAAAAAGAGTGATTCGAATTCCAATCACTTAGACATAAACATGGTTTTCGTGATGCTACTACAATGAATCAGTGTTCGAGAAAATGAAATTCTGTTGTTCATTTGGCATGTTAGCAAGCGATTATCACTTATTCATTAATCACAGGCATTATTCCAGAATAGAGAAAATCCTTAAAGCAATCAGAGCTTTTGTTACAACTGTATATTATGTAGGCATTTGGTCAGAATTAGTATTTTATCAATTGTAATTAAGCCAAGGCTAGGTAATAAAATATCAGAAGAGGTATATATTTCATGACCTCAAATGTTGCATTCAATTAAAAAATCTGAATTTATATGTTATCATTTTCAATACTGGCTATATTTCCAAGGAAACTAAAAAAAAAAACCCTTAATTTCAGTATTTTTTTGTATATTTTTATATGGTCTTGTCCTTTTTGTAATTGCTGATTGATATCAATGTAGTACTTGAAGGAATGGAACAATAAATTTTAAAGTCATATACCTCCATATGTCCATCCAGAAAATACAGTCCCCTTTTGATCACACACTCTTTCATCGACAACCTGCTTTAGATTTTTTGAAGCGTCTAAGACCAAAACATAAAAGGCTCTCCGTGAAAGATAAATCTGATGGCAGGCATAGTACACACATTGTCCTCCAAAGTCAAAAAAAGTTACAGTCTTGATGGCACTTTAGTTTATCTCGTTTCCATTGAATTTTTCAAAGATCTTGAGATTGTCAGCACGAAGAGTCTCTACAAGATGAAAAAAACAGTATCTCAGGAAGCAGAATTGTGACTTGAAAGTTAGAATGATGAAATTGAAGAAAGATACTGTACGAACATTTTACACTGTAAACAGTAAGTGAAGAAATCTTGATCAGCTTTATTTCAGTGTTATAAGAATATGATACTTAATTTACATGAAAAACAAAATTGTCACACAATATAAAGAACAAAACATTTACACAATTTGAAATATTAAAATATGTATGCAGACTATTATATATTGAAAATATTTCAATTCAGCTTTGTAATGCAGCAAAACCAGATCGGTTTCAGTAATTTGCAGTATATTCCAGTAAAAAAAACAAAACATCGAAAAAAATCGCCTCTGGGCTGCTCAGAAGACAAATACATGTATATTCTAACCTTACACGTTATCTAAATATTTACACAAATATAGACTACTAAAGAGCTTTAATAAATGATAGATCGTTAATGAAAAAAGTGTCAAATACAATTTTGAACATGTTCTTTTCTTAGGAATAACACAAGCAAGAGGAAAACAAGGCAAATTTACCTTTTAATTTTCCATCACTAATTTCAAAGATTTCCTCATGAACGTCCAACCCTATCTCGTTGGTTTCACGTTCAGAATCTCTTCATTAGAACGCCCAAGTAGACGTTTTAGAAGCGTAGTCTTCCCGGCTCCGGCACATCCTACAATCATTCCCCGAGCATGATGGACAGTCTGTGTTCCTCTATTGGAGAGTTCCGCGTAGTGTTCCTTGGCCTCTTTGTCCCAGTCTATGATTTCCTTTGGAAAGTTAACTAGCAAATATGAAAAAATAATTTGACAAAATCGGCATTATCCATTCAACATTTAAAATGCTGTTTGAAATATATTCAGATAAAGTTTAAGATACATAATTTTTTATTTAAATAACTTTAAAAATTTTGAAACCAGTTTATGCATCTAGTATTTGCAAGCCTACCAAACAAGACGGCATATACACCTTATTATGTTCCCCAAACGAAGTTGGGGAACATATTGTTTTTACTCTGTTTCTTATTATTATTAGGGTCTTCCGTCTTCAGCGGAAGACCCTTCTATTATTCTTTTGTTTCTTTTTCAATTTTCTTATTATTAGGGTCTTCCGTCTTCAGCGGAAGACCCTTCTATTATTCTTCGGTTTCTTTTTCACTTTTATTATTATTATTAGGGTCTTCCGTCTTCAGCGGAAGACCCTTCTATTATTCTTATGTTTCTTTTTCACTTTTCTTATTATTATTATTATTCTTTTTTTCTGCACAAATTTTGTGCAGAAGATTTCTCAGAGATGGTTGGATGGATTTGCTTCAAATTTTCAGAGATGTTGTAGGATAATCTGAAGTTTATACCGGCTGAAGGATTTTGTGAAAATCACTTCCGGTCTAGAGTTATCGCCCTTTTATCAAAATTCAGAGGACCTCCTTGTCCGTTCATTTTCTCGAAAACGGCTTGAGCTAGAGCGCTGAAATTTTCAGTGATGATAGAGGACATGTCCCTATGTTACTGGGAGTTTGGATAGTTTCCGGAAGTATCTAGTATGGAAGCTCGGTAGGGGTCAAAATTTAGGACACGAATCACGAGTGATTTTTGGAGACATTTTGCATCATATCTTTTAAAGTATAAATATTTTGTAAGAACATACTGAACATCATTTGTGCAGAACAACGAGATCTTTCAAATGATATCAAGAAAAAAATGCTGACTCATCACATTAGGGGCAGAAAGGGGCCAAAAGTCTTTAATCGATAACTCTTTATCAGTTAATATTTTGTAATATAATACTGAAGCAAAAATGTTTATCTCAACAATCTACAGCTATATGTTATAATTTTTATGACGTATGGTACATAATTAGGGGCCACAAGGGGCCAGAAGGCTAAATCTTTGACGCTTTATATCTCAAGAGTGAGAAATATTTTGATAAGTAATATTGAACAAAAGATGTTCAAAATGATGTTTTGAACAATATGCAACCTTTCATTTTTCGCTAAACGTCCCCATTAGGGAGTTGAAGGGTTGGCCCCTAAATATTTCTTTTGCGAATAACTCGAAAACGAAAAAGAATCTCTGAATAGTTGTTGAACAAAAAGTGCTCAAAATCCTAAGAGCTTTAAGATGAAATCCAGAAAAAGGGGCTGGACACACAAATTAGGGGCCAAGAGGGGCTAAAAGTCTTTTTTCGATAACTCTTTAACAGTCAATAATTTGTAATACATTACTGAAGTAAAAATGTTTATCTCAACAATCTACAACTGTATATTATGATTTTTGTGTCGTATATTACATAATTAGGGGCCACAAGGGGCCAGAAGGCTAAATCTTTGACGCTTTGTATCTCAAAAGTGAGAAATATTTTGATAAGTAATATTGAACAAAAGATGTTCAAAATGATGTTCTGAACAATATGCAACCTTTCATCTACAACTGTACCTTTCATTTTTCGCTAAACGTCCCCATTAGGGAGTTGAAGGGTTGGCCCCTAAATATTTATTTTGCAAATAACTCGAAAACGAAAAAGAATCTCTGAATAGTTGTTGAACAAAAAGTGCTCAAAATCCTAAGAGCTTTAAGATGAAATCCAGAAAAAGGGGCTGGACACACAAATTAGGGGCCAAGAGGGGCTAAAAGTCTTTTTTCGATAACTCTTTAACAGTCAATAATTTGTAATACATTACTGAAGTAAAAATGTTTATCTCAACAATCTACAACTGTATATTATGATTTTTGTGTCGTATATTACATAATTAGGGGCCACAAGGGGCCAGAAGGCTAAATCTTTGACGCTTTGTATCTCAAAAGTGAGAAATATTTTGATAAGTAATATTGAACAAAAGATGTTCAAAATGATGTTCTGAACAATATGCAACCTTTCATTTTTCGCTAAACGTCCCCATTAGGGAGTTGAAGGGCTGTTCCCTAAATATTTCTTTTGCGAATAACTCGAAAACGAAAAAGAATCTCTGAATAGTTGTTGAACAAAAAGTGTTCATAATCCTGAGAGCTTTAAAATGTTATGAAGAAAAAAGGGCTTATCCCTAATATTAGGAGCCGTGAGGGGCCAAAAGTCGATTTTAGAAGTCTTTATTGTTCAATGTCTTTTTACAGAATATGGAAAATCATTACTTAAGAATGAGAATCTCAATCAAAATCTGATCTCATCTCATCAAGAATCGAACGGAAGACCCACTCGTTGCTCGCAACGAGATCGTATCTAGTTATTATTATTATTCTTTTTTCTCCTTACCGATTTTGTGCAGAAGATTTCTCGGAGATGGCTCGATCGATTTGGTTCAAATTTTGGGTGTTGATGTGTTTCTATCTGAAGTTTGTACCGGCGCTTCGATTTTGAAAAAGTCACTTCCGGTCGGAAGTTATCGCCCTTTGATCAAAATTTAGATGACCTCCATGTCTGTGATGGAACTCAAAAACGGCTCAAGCTAGAAAGCTGAAATTTTGAGGGATGGTAGAGGACATGTTGCCATCTTGCACCTGGGTCAGGATATTTTCCGGAAGTGCCTAGTATGGAAGCTCGGTAGGGGTCAAAAATTAGGACACGAATCATGACTGATTTTTTGAGACATTTTGCATTGTATCTTTTAAAGTATAATTATTTTGTTAAAAGATACTGAGCAAAATTTGTGCAGAACTACAAGATCTTCCATATGATATCAAGAAAAAAGTGCTGACTCATCACATTAAGGGCTGAAAGGGGCCAAAAGTCTTTATCCAATAACTTTTAAGCAGTCAATATTTTGTAATACATTATAGAAGCAAAAATGTTAATCTTAACAATCTTCAACTATATATTTTGATTTTTGTGTCGTATGGTACATAATTAGGGGCCACAAGGGGCCAGAATGCTAAATCTTCGACGCTTTATATCTCGAAAGTGAGAAATATTTTGATAAGTAATATTGAACAAAAGATGTTCAAAATAATGTTCTGAACAATATGCTACCTTTCATTTTTCGCTATACGTCCCCGTTAGGGAGTTGAAGGGTTGGCCCCTAAATATTTCTTTTGCGAATAACTCGAAAATGAAAAAAAATCTCTGAATAGCTATTGAACGAAAAGTGTTCAAAATCATAAAAGCTTTAAGAGGAAATTAAGAAAAAGGGGCTGGGCACTCAAATTAGGGGCCAAGAGGGGCCAAAAGTCTTTAATCGATAACTCTTTAGTTGTTAATATTTTGTAATACATTACTGAAGCAAAGATGTTTAACTAAATGATTTACAACTATATATTATGATTTTTATGTCGTATGGTACATAATTAGGGGCCACGAGGGGCCAGGATGCTTATTCTTTGACTCTTTATATCTTGAAAGTGAGAAAAATTTTGATAAGTTATATTGATAAAAAGATGTCCAAAATCATGTTGTGAACAATATGCAACCTTTCATTTTTCGCTAAACGTCCCCATTAAGGAGTTGAAGGCTTGGCCTCTAAATATTTCTCATGCAAATAACTCGAAAACGAAAATGAATCTCTGCATAGTTGTTCAACAAAAAGTGATCAAAATCGTTAGAGCTTTAAGATGATATGAATAAAAAGGGCTAATTCTTAAAATTAGGGGCCGTGAGGGGCCAAAAGCCGTTTTTTAAAGTCTTTAATGTTCAATGTCTTTTATAGATTATGGAAAATCATTACTTTAGAATGAAAATCTCAATCCAAATCTTATCTCATCTCATCATGAATCGAACGGAAGACCCACTCGTTGCTCGCAACGAGATCGTATCTAGTTATTATTATTATTATTATTATTCTTTTTTTCTGCACAAATTTTGTGCCGACGATTCCTCAGAGATTTTTCGATCGATTTGTTTCAAATTTTCAGGGTTGGTGCACAATTATCTGAAGTTAATTCCGGCTAAACGATTTTTTGAAAATCACTTCCGGTCTAGAGTTATCGCCCTTTTCTTAAAATTCAGATGACCTCCGTGTCTGTGACAGAACTCAATAACGGCTTAAGCTAGAGCGTTGAAATTTTCAGTGATAATAGAGGACATGTTGCCATGTTGCACCTGGGTCAGGATATTTTCCGGAAGTGTCTAGTATGGAAGCTCGGTAGGGGTCAAAATTTAGGACACGAATCATGACTGATTTTTTAAGACATTTTGCATCATATCTTTTAAAGTATAATTATTTTGTTAAAACATACTGAACATCATTTGTGCAGAACATCGAGATCTTTCATATTACACCAAGAAAAAAGCGCTGACTCATCACATTAAGGGCAAAAAGGGGCCAAAAGTCTTTAATCGATAACTCTTTAACTATCAATATTTTGGTATATATTACTGAACAAAAAATGTTAAGCTTAACAATCTAGAATCATATATTATGATACTCATGTCGTATGGTACATAATTAGGGGCCACAAGGGGCCAGAATGCTAAATCTTTGATGCTTTATATCTCGAAAGGTAGAAATATTTTGATAAGCAATATTGAACAAAAGATGTTCAAAATAACGTTTTTAACAATATGCAACCTTTTATTTTTTGCTAAACGTCCCCGTTAAGGAGTTGAAGGGTTGGCCCCTAAATATTTCTTTTGCTAATAGCTCAAAAACGAAAAAGAATTTCTGAATAGTTATTGAACAAAAAATGTTCAAAATCTTGAGATCCTTAAGATGAGATCCCGAAAAAGGGGCTGGGCACTCGAATTAGGGGCCAAGAGGGGCCAAAAGTCTTTTTTCGATAACTCTTTATCAGTTCATATTTTGTAATACATTACTGAAGCAAAGATGTTTATCTCAACCATCTACAACTATATATTATGGTTTTTATGTCGTATGGTACATAGTTAGGGGCCACAAGGGGCCAGAATGCTAAATCTTTGATGCTTTATATCTCGAAAGGGAGAAATATTTTGATAAGCATTATTGAACAAAAGATGTTCAAAATAACGTCCTTAACAATATGCAACCTTTCATTTTTTGCTAAACGTCCCCATTAAGGAGTTGAAGGGTTGGCCCCTAAATATTTCTTTTGCTAATAGCTCAAAAACGAAAAAGAATTTCTGAATAGTTATAGAACAAAAAATGTTCAATATCTTAAGATATTTAAGACGAGATCCCGAAAAGGGGCTGGGCACTCGAATTAGGTGCCAAGAGGGGCCAAAAATCTTTTTTCGATAACTCTTTATCAGTTAATATTTTGTAAAACATTACTGAAGCAAAGATGTTTATCTCAACCATCTACAACTATATATTATGGTTTTTATGTCGTATGGTACATAATTAGGGGCCACAAGGGGCCAGAATGCTAAATCTTTGATGCTTTATATCTCGAAAGGGAGAAATATTTTGATAAGCATTATTGAACAAAAGATGTTCAAAATAACGTTCTTAACAATATGCAACCTTTCATTTTTTGCTAAACGTCCCCGTTAAGGAGTTGAAGGGTTGGCCCCTAAATATTTCTTTTGCTAATAGCTCATAAACAAAAAACGAATTTACGAACAGTTGTTGAACACAAAATGTTCAAAATCTTAAGAGCTTTAAGATGATATGAATAAAAAGGGCCGATTCCTAAAATTAGGGGCCGTTAGGGGCCAAAGGCCGATTTTTAAAGTCTTTAATGTTCAATGTCTTTTTACAGATTGTGGTAAATCATTATTTTAGAATGAAAATCGCAATCAAAATCTTATCTCATCTCATCAAGAATTGGACGGAAGACCCACTCGTTGCTCGCAACGAGATCGTATCTAGTTATTATTATTATTCTTTTTTCTTCTTATTTCTTCTCCGGTACTTTTTTGTCCGGAAGTGTTCTCAGAAACTGTTCACCAAACTAAGTTGAAACCTTTTTAGGGTTAGTAGGCATGTTGTGTAGATGTGCTGAACGAAGGTCATTTTGCGCGCATTCGCATGCACGTGCGGGCGCGTGCAATGAGTAAAATGACTGATATATTTAATATGGTTGTAACTTTTATATTTTTTGATAAAATGTTTTGAAACTCATTATATAAAGATATATAAGATGTGTAGATAAGATGACATGGTCAAATTTGCATGAACTCACGCGCATGCACGTGCGCTTTGCTCTGATTAGCTGAAACAGAAATCTTAATATCTTTTTTGTTTTATGATGAAATGCTTTGAAATTTATAACATAGACATGCATTAGGATGTACTACAATATGATATATAAAATTTTTCATCAAATCACGCGCATGCACGTGCGCTGCAATCTGATTGGCTGAAATTTTAAATGACTATAACTCCCTTGGTTTTCAACCAAACAGCATGAGATTTAGAACATCTATAGACATATAGAACTCCTACAAGATGGTATGGTCACCATTCACATGCATGCACGTGCATGCACATGTGCTTTGCTCTGATTGGCTGAAACAAAAATCTCAATATCTTTTCTGTTTTTTTACAAAGTGCTTTGAAATTTAAAACATAGGCATACTTTAAGATGTCCTACAATATGATATATAATAATTGTCATGAAAACACGCGCATGCACGTGCGCTGCAATCTGATTGGCTTAAACTTTAAATGGCTATAACTCCCTTGTTTTTCAACCAAACAGGATGGGATTAAGAACATATACAGACATAATGGACACCTACAAAAAGGTATGGTCATCATGCACGTGCGTGCACGTGCAATGAGTAAAAAGTGTAGACAAGATGATATCGTCATTACGCTCATGCAATCACATGCGCACGCCTGCATTGCTTAAATTTGAAATACTTGGTATACTTTTGGAAAAACTTTGTTTACGTCTTAAATGCATAGATTTTGCCTTCTTTGATGAAACTTACAGGGAATATGGCACGAGAAGGGAGTTGGGGAGCGTTTGGGGAACATCTGTAACGGTTCCCGTTACAATTAGCACTAGTTTTCTATGTAATCAAAAAACAAATACTTTGAACTGATATTATAAGAGAAAACAAAATTTCAAAAGCATACAACGGGCTTGGATTGCGTCACAAAACACTTTATCCGACGCCTGACAGTGTATAATTGTGTCAATCTGTAGACGGTCTATGAAGAGGTCAGAAAGCTTTTCAGGCCAGTTTGGAACAAACAGACACCTTTCTCCTTCACTTCTCTCATATTTCCAGCTCCTACAATATTCTAATATCACCTGATGCGATGCTGTCGAGAGGAAAAACTCGAGATCACTGTCCTCAATTAAGCATAATTACTTTCACATTCATTTTGTGCATAAAATCAAATTTATTTTTGAATGTATAAATAATGTAATGATAAAAATGTTTAAAATTTCGGCTAAAAGAACCTCTCTCTTGTTTTGAAAATCTTTTTCTTTCTTATTTATCATTCAAACATATTTGCAGAATATGTCTTCACAATTTTAGCAAAGACGGTGATAGTTTCAGGAATACAGCTTATGAGAGAACATATAACTGTTGATCGTTTAATTTCGATAAGTCATAAATATTTTACCATTTCTTGGCGACTTCAAAGGGGGTGGGGGGCTAAAGGCTTCTTGACCACCTCTGACAAAACAACCTCGACTGTTTTTACATGTGTCTAAGAGACCTCTCTTTGAATGTCACGGTCGGTTAACTCGGTCATATATTTTTAATCGTAGGGAAGATTTATTCATCAAATAAAAATCATATACATTGTAGGTAAACAAAAAGCAACCTGTTATTTTCTAACACAATATAAGACTACAAGTAACTAGAAATAATGTTAACTTTTTAAACACATTTTGTCATTATAGATGAGTATTAGGAAAAGTTATTGCCAAGAGTCATAGGTATCATAGATAAAATAACTAAAAGAAAACTGTGACATATTGTCTAGAACCAATCAAATAGTGCGTTGTATTAGCATAATGAGGCAAAAAATATAGCGATATAAAAAAAATATAGAAGGTAAAGAGGTAAAATTTACCCTGTCTATCAAATAGTATAATAAAGAAAGGAAGTGGCTACGATTTTTATGAAATTTTAATGTCCGATGAGGAATTATATTCCCAAAAAGTAAGACAAGAGTTTCCAAGGAAATTGTACACTCCATTATTTCAGTTTGTTCATTAACATGTTCATAAACGTAAAAACTATAAGAATTGTGAAAACTTGACTATGTAATTCATATTTCAATATGACTTTACCTAGATCTATAGTGAGAAATTCAATGAATTTTAACTTCATGAAAAGATGAACACATTTGACTTTTATTTATACCCCCCCCCCAAAAAAAAAGAACAAGAAAATCCTGTTCATATGACTTCTTGCTCTCAATTTTTACACAATTGCATAAAATAAAGGTAAAATAGTATATTTTGTATCGATTAAAATGGAACCAAAAAATATACGGTGTCTTTGAATAAAAATTCCATGCTAAATTGACATAAAAAAGGATACTCAGCTTCAATTAGCTATTTTCAAACTGTTTTCCCGTGGGTATTTATTTCATCTTATTTTATTTTCTTCTTTATAATAACGTTGGTATTCTATTATTGCAGAGATATACAATTATGACTCGCTATACAGTACTCTTTACTGTTAGGAGTAATTTATATTTCACGAGAAAGGGACGCCATACATTTTTCAGTAAAAATACATAACACGGCGTTAGTCGTTTAATTTCTTTAAAATTTCACGTTTTGTGAATAGTGCACAAATTAAAAAATTAAGTAAATGGAATACTTTAATGGGAAATAAAGATAAACGAAGTGTAGTTATTTGTTTTTAGAAATTATATTGAAAAATAATAACGCCATTGTGTCCTCTTTGTTACCCCAGCAGTATTTGTCGTGTGATTTTAAACTTATTTGACAACCTTATGAATTAGGTTTAATAAAAATAAACCCACAAGATACTGATGTACAAGTAACAGTTACTGGCATAATGCGCCGTTGCTTTATTCTTTAGTTTTTATAGAAAGTTGCACGGAATACCCGATTTCGAGGATTCAGCGATACCCTAATATCGAGTATTATACGCGATTTCAGGGATAATACCCGATTTCGAGTATTCTCTCCGACCTCTTAAAGATTGTGATGAAGTTTTTCAGAGTGTCAAAGTTTCTGATAGGTTTTTAAAGTGTCAAAGTTTTCGCCAAAGTTTTCCTAAGTATCAAAGTTTTCACCAAAGTTTTTCACATTGTCAAAGTTTTTCGCCAAAGTTTTTCAAGTGTCAAAGTTTTCCCCAAAGTTTTCCAAAGTGTTTAAGATTGTAAAGAAGTTTTTCAGAGTGTCAAAGTTTTCGATAGGTTTTTTAACGTGTCAAAATTTTCACCAATGTTTCAAAGTTTTCGATATATTTTTTCAAAGTTTTCATTAAACTATTTTAAAAAGTCAAAGTTTTCATTAAACTTTTTTAAAGAGTCAAAGATTTCATTAAACTTTTTAAAGTGTCAAAGTTTCTCAAAGAGTCAAAATTTTTCAAGTACCAAAGTTTTCGATTTTTACAAAGTGTCCAAGTTATCGATAACGTTTTTCAAAGTGTCAAAGTTTTCGCCAAAGTTTTTCACAGTGTCAAAGTTTTCGCCAAAGTTTTTCAAAGTATCAAAGTTTTTGCCAAAGTTTTTCAAAGTGTCAAAGTTTTCGATGAAGTTTTTTAAAGTGTCAAAGCGATCACTATAATAAATCAATGTTTTCAAAGTGTCAAAGTTATAACTATAGTTGACGATGGTAAACTGTAGTGTTTTTTTTTTGTTAGGGAAATTGCATGCAGGGACCGTTCCACTGATGACTTTTTGGCAATTATCGACTCTACGAACATTCCGATTAGATTGTAAATGTGTAAAAGACCGTAAAAGCTATGTTCTACACATGAAAGAAATGTTAAATTCAATAGAATTTTGTAAATCAGTTGTGGGGAGGTACTATATCACTTGATTTTTAAACGTAATTAATGAGGTAGTCTAGTTTTCATTCTTGTTAAATCAGAATAGTTGTTCGTTTATAGTTTTATTGAAAATAATATGTCAGCTTATCTAGATACGATTTTAGTAATAGCAATTACCATCATATTTTACCTATTGTTGCTTTATGTAAAATCGTAGGATTTTATGATTTTGGGAAATACAGTGTGAATTTTACATTTAATGTTTTAGAAACCATCATACTTTACTCATTTCAAGGTTGGTGACCTATGTTGCAACCACTATTGAAATAACGACAACTATTGAAATAATTATATCAATAGTGGTTGAGAGTGCATTTCAATAACAAACATAGGTAATAACAACTATTGAAATACAACCACTATTGAAATAATTATATCAATAGTGGTTAAGAGTGCATTTCAATAACGAACATAGGTAAAAACCACTATGGAAATACAACCACTATTGAAATAATTATTTCAGTAGTGGTTGAGAGTGCATTTCAACAACAAGCATAGGTAATAAACACTATTAAAATACGACTGCTATTGAAATAAATATTTCAGTTGTGGGTGAGATTCATTTCAATAACAAACATAGGTTGCAACCTCTATTGAAATAATGTTCTCTTTTGAAATAAAAATTTCAATATTGATTAGTCGCCCGCGTTTCACAGTGGTTAGAGCGTCTGCTCTAGAGTCGCGAAGTAAGGAGTCAATCCTTTCGTCGCGGGTTCGAATCCCACTGCGGGACGTAGAGACCGGTCCTTCGGATGAGACCGTATAAACCGGGGCCCCGTTTACCAGTACGTGCTGGCACGAAAAAGATCCCTCACTGCTCAAAGGCCCTGAGTGCCGAGCATAGGACAAAATTTGTAGCCCTTCACCGGCAAGTGGTGGCGTCTCCATATGAGTGAAAAAATCTCGAGAGGGACGTTAAACAATATACAATCAATCATCAATATGGATTAAATTATTGATTTTAATAGTGCATTGAACAATGAATCCAATATTTAATGAAATAATTATTTCAAAAGTTTCTGACGCGGTGAAACTTTTCTATCAATACTGGTAGTATTTCAGTAGTGGTTGAAACTTATGGTTACCATATTGAAATGCACTCTTACCCACTATTAAATAATTATTTTAACAGTAGTCGTATTTCAATAGTGGTTGAAACCTACGGTTATTATATTGAAATGCACTCTCACCCACTATTGAAATAATTTTTCAATAGGGGTCGTATTACAATAGTGGTATTACCTATGTTTTTTTATTGAAATGCACTCTCAACCACTATTGATATAATCATTTCAATAGTGGTCATATTTCAATAGTGAAAACAACTATGTTTGCTATTGAAATGCACTCTCAACCACTATTGATATAATTATTTCAATAGTGGTCGTTATTTCAATAGTGGTTGCAACAGACATATATGCATTTTCTAATAATGTATTTTCTATTCAAATTAAAAATATTGGATCGTATTCTACATTTAGTTTGAGTTGTTGAATATTTTGAGGCGATAAGTTGTTCTTTATTGTACATGTTGTAAGCATTAACTTTATAATCAGGCTTTATCGGTACTAGAATTGTTTACGCTTGTGTCGGTTGTTATGATATTCTTTCGCTTCATTGTTCATGTTCTTCAGCATATATTGTACAGTCTAGGGATGTTTTATAAACATTGAAGGTATTTATTAATTATATTTTCACTTGTTAATTTTACATACTTTTACTTGTTACGATGTTGTATGGTAGCTGTGTGTCAAAGGTAGTTCTGTGTGGGAACTGTTTGGGAACTCAGCTTCCTGTACAAGCTGTTGATTGGTTGATAGTTCGTACGGCATAATTTCATAGGATATCTTGAGTCATGTGACAGGGAATAGGAGGTTACATAAGCAAGCGCGTACTATGCTATTACAGATTTGTAAATTGATTGGCGGTGATTTTTGCCCCGGGTTGAAAATTGACCCGTGGTCATTTTTCAACGTTGAATACTGAGACCAAAGGTGTCGAATTTAGACTCTGGTACGTTGAAAACTGAGCCGGGTCGTTGAATTTTGATCATAAAAGGGGTTCTAAATTAAACAGCATAAGAACACATATTTATGACTTGCTTTTCACAACTGCGTCATCCATAGGCGTCGGGAACGTGTGTTGGGTAATAGGGATGTTTATATGATAGACATACAGAGTCTGTAGTCCGTAATATAGGCATTAAAAACATGGATCCTAACACCCCCACCACCACCATCCCCCCCCCCCACACACACCCGACATAGGATTTTCGGGTTTAAACTACTAGTCTGGACAATGGACATATTT